TACCAATATAAATTAATACAAGTGCAGATTCGATGACTTAAAAATGATGCACATAAATTAGAAAACATCTGCATCCTTAGTTAAGGCCTCATAGGCAACAAAGGAAACAGATTGAAATACAAAAGAAAAACATTTTTATAAGAAGAAGTGCAACCACTTTGGACATTTTGAATCAAAGAGAGAATAAGAGAAAATGATAAGACAATTGTTTTACTTCCACATAATTTGGTCAAGGTGTTCCTTTTGAAACCCATAAAAAAAGCTTAAAAATTCTTAAAGTTGTTACTTGTAGTAATAAAAATTAAATCATTATTATGTGCCTCCTTTTATAATTACAAGTTATGAAACCTGCTAACCAAGGATTCGCTGATGGATTTACAAATTATCTTTGAAGTGGAAGACAAATCTGTTGCACCAAAATTTTTTTAAAAACTTATAAATTAAGTTGCTAAACTAAACAAATGTTCATTATCAAAACTAGCGAGCAAAGCTCATAAACACTCAGACTCAAGCAAGACTTATTCAAGAATTTTGCCTAGCTTTACTTTTCAGACTTAAATTGGACTCATCGAGAAAATAATAAAATTTTTACTTATAACTTGAGCTCAACTTATCAAATAAAATATTTAAATTCATTCTTAAGCTTAAATTCAATTAATTTTAATATCGAGTTTTATAGTATAATAGAAAGGATAATATAGATGATATACTTTTTGACGCCATCTTGAGCTTAAATTCAATAACAAGGCTAGTTCATCAAAACTAGATAATTTGCAAGCTATAAAGGAAAAAATTGAAGATAGATGTCAACGAATTTCTACTTTAGATGTAAGTCTTAAAAGTTAATAATTTTTATAATGAGAGTTGTTTAAAGATAAAAATAGGATAAAAATTCCAACTCTCTCCTTTATTTATTACATTATAATATTAATATAAGGTTTTGTTTAAGGGGTTAGTGCTTGTCTACCTTACTTCTAAAAATTAGGAGAAAAAAAAGGGATAAAAATTACCTTAATATATACTTTAAAAATATAATAATTTAATTTTTTT